GCCCTCTTTCACAGGATTTATAGCAGCGCTGTCAAGATGATAAGAAATATGTGGATTTCTCTTGTAGGATGATTTGAGGCCACTGTTAGCTTTGATGTGACCATCACTCCTGTTGAAAGCCCTGATGTGCTGAATTGATTCCATTCTCTCACTCTGGGCTGGAATTTAGCTCCTTATTTCCTGTTCAGTTAGCATATCTATATGTGCCCCTGTGGCAGCAGCGTTACTACGTTGTCATTTAGTACTTCCTTTTGGTAGTACTAAACGACGACGCAGTAACAGCCCATACTGCACTGTGCTGGCGGTGCACGGTTGTTTTTAGCTGCTACGTTGCCATAGCAACATGCTATAGCAAAGGGAGCGTGTTGCTACAGCAGTGTAGCTGCAGCATCACAGGTTATGCCTGCCAACTCTACGTCCCTGTAGCGTGTTGCACCACATGTAGATGCACCCAATACCATGTTTTGGGGGTGTTTGCTGGGCAGCTTTTCCAGGCAAAAACTCTGGTGCCAGAGACCTTTGGCAGTGAGCACATTTGAACTCAGCAAAGGAGATGATTCCTCTTAGAAGAGTCCTTCAGAAAGTCCAAATCCAATGTCTGAAAATCTAGATAAAAGCTCTTCTTGCAAGGCCATTAAGTACCTGGATTCTCTCCTTAGCTCAGAGTATATCACACTGTACCATGGTCCTTTGTTCAAGTAGCACAATGAATGCTGAACCCTTCATGCTACCTTGCTTTGGCTTGTGGAAACTTCTTGGCCAGTACCAAATCACCCTTACCTATTTCATGTCTGTTAGAACAGTATCCTTGTCATCTCACCCTTTCCCCTTCACTTAACGGAGCAAAGAAAGAACAAATACAACACATGACTGAATTCTCGGGGGTTTAATCTAGTTCTGGGACTTACACTGTGTCTGATGGAGAGAGCAACTTCACAGCAACCAAACTTCCCTTCACCCACAGCTGCTTAGTGTTCTTGTTGCCTTTTCATTTTCTTTATCCAACAGGTTGCAGTTCTCCTGCTGTTAGTGATAGTGTGGACCCCAAACAGTAACAACACTACTGCATAGTTTGTTTTCTTTAAAGGTCAAAAAATCAAAGGGCTTACTCCATAAAACTGGTTTATCTTAGGGTCTGTATTTACATTCTTTAATTCCTGTTAACTCTCTGAAAGCCCTAAATAGCTCGTATGGTTTCCCTCTTCTTGTACCTATATACACATACTCTTGCACATTCATTTGACTGGTGGTCTGGAAATTATCAGCAATGTGTGGGTTAAAGCATGTACTGTTTTTCCAATCTATTTATAAGGGACCTGTGGTTTCAAGGGAGGAAGGAAGGTTATGTAAAGACAGATTTGACCTCTGTCTCTTGTATCTGTCTACTGGCTAATTAAGAGTTTCACATCCCAGGAAGTAAGCAGCTTATAAAATTCAGCTTTCCTGAGAGATTGTACACTGGTGACTTGGAGCTGAACACACAATACAGGATGCCAATTTGATTTCATAGTATTTATGAAGCAACCATACCTAATGAAAAAGTCTGTGTTAAAACACAAGGTCCTTCAGATTTGCTAGAATTGGTAGAAATATTTAACAAGATGTAAAGTGTCGAGTTTACCATTTGAAAATCTTCATCTTACAGAGGGGATGGTCAACTTCTTTTCTTTATGATGCAGAAATAAAAAAGGTTCTTGGGCTAGCTGAATAGCAAATAAAAATAGCATAGCAGGTAAGTTAAGCTGTTTTCTGCTAATGAAATATCCATTAGCAGATCAGAACTTCCTTGACGTATCTAAAAGTATTTGACAACTTCGTATTTTTTTTAAACTCAGCTCCGGTGGTTAATTACAAAGCATTTGTGTGTTAGAAGCTGTAAGAAATCATTCTTACTGGCTTAACAAGTCACTTTGTTGTTTATGTTCTATAGTTTGTTCAGTGAGCAAGTACTTCCAGTGTGTCAAAAATCCAGGGTATGAATTCAAAACATGAGTTTTACAACTCTGAAGTGCACTTTAATGAACATTTGTGCCAATAAAGCTCAACTGTGAAATGTTCTTAGAAAGTCAATCACAAAGATGGTCAAGAGCACAAGTAAGGGATATTAGGAGACTTACTCCTTCTCACCCAGTGCTGCTCATTTTGCAGTCTACAAGTACTTTTCTCTGGTACATGTGGAACAACATGGAGCAGGGAGTCATTTGACTTAATGGCTCATTGCTCTTCACTTCATTGGCTTGTTCTTCACAGATGTTAACAATCATCTCTTCTTTTTAATGGTCTTGGTACACCTTCAGTACACCTTCAGTAAGGCAATTTTGCTATTTGTCAGGTGGTCCTGGTCTCTCTTCTATTTCACACCCCAGCTTGGAGATTCTTTAGTTCTACAAAATCACAGATCTACCCATGGAAACCAGTTTTTAGGAGCAGCTATGGTTTCAGCTTCAGCTAAGCAGGAAAGGGAGGGTAAGTCATCTGAAGATTAGGCACTGCACAGCCATAACTCTAGAAAAATCTATTTTTCTTCAATCTTCCTTTCAGAAACAGGGTGAGTATTATTCCCAAGCACATTGTATGCAAGAAAATATAGTGTACGTTGTGACCTTCAACTGGGTTAGCAGGAGTTGACTTGAATAAAAGAAGTTATAATCTTGTTTGTAATGCTGATCTCTGATGAAGCAGACTGTTAAAAAAGGAGTATGAACCACTCCTAATGGCACAAAAGATCTTAAATGTGTCTGAGGCAGTTTGGTTGTAATTGGGGTTAGGAGATAAGAAGCTACACATTTTTAC